TATTTTATTATTAATTTTATTCTGATGTTTATGTATTTGTCGCTGTATAATAGGCCTATTTGTTTCACGAATTGTGGTGCTTGTAGGTAGGCTATGTTTGTAACTTGCATTCTAATAAAAAAGTTAAATAAATAAAAATAAAAGAACACCAGATGAATTGTTCTCTTTTAAAATGTTTGATTTTAAAACTGATATCATGTTTTATGTGTATACATAGGCTATGGGTGAATAAACTATCTGACAGTGCCATATGGGTTATATTTCATTTTTGTTAAAACAATAGGCTATATAAAAACACGTCTGTATTAAAGAAAAAAAAAGATTGATAAACCATAGGCTATTTGGAATGTAATTAAATGACAAGTACTTTGGGTTTTATTTACATTTTATTTATTTTTATATAAAAGCAACAGAACTTAAAACCAGTTAACCTTCGGGCAACCGACGGCGCTCATTGGTTTAAACAACAGTGATGAAGGTAAATTCCATATTCATTAAGCTAAATTCTCCAAATCAAGGCCATGTTTTATTTATTTATTTTTTTCAAATTGAAACTGATCTATATTGTGAATCTCTTAAACGGGTTAAAAGAAAGCTATAGTCAGTAACTCAAATATACTAGGCCTACTCTAAAATGTTCAAGTGAAAAATAGCTCTCATTTTATAGATGATGAAGTTTGTAAGTCTGTCTATTTAAGCTAAGCTTATTTTGATTGATTGATTTATTTTATTATTAATTTTATTCTGATGTTTATGTATTTGTCGCTGTATAATAGGCCTATTTGTTTCACGAATTGTGGTGCTTGTAGGTAGGCTATGTTTGTAACTTGCATTCTAATAAAAAAGTTAAATAAATAAAAATAAAAGAACACCAGATGAATTGTTCTCTTTTAAAATGTTTGATTTTAAAACTGATATCATGTTTTATGTGTATACATAGGCTATGGGTGAATAAACTATCTGACAGTGCCATATGGGTTATATTTCATTTTTGTTAAAACAATAGGCTATATAAAAACACGTCTGTATTAAAGAAAAAAAAAGATTGATAAACCATAGGCTATTTGGAATGTAATTAAATGACAAGTACTTTGGGTTTTATTTACATTTTATTTATTTTTATATAAAAGCAACAGAACTTAAAACCAGTTAACCTTCGGGCAACCGACGGCGCTCATTGGTTTAAACAACAGTGATGAAGGTAAATTCCATATTCATTAAGCTAAATTCTCCAAATCAAGGCCATGTTTTATTTATTTATTTTTTTCAAATTGAAACTGATCTATATTGTGAATCTCTTAAACGGGTTAAAAGAAAGCTATAGTCAGTAACTCAAATATACTAGGCCTACTCTAAAATGTTCAAGTGAAAAATAGCTCTCATTTTATAGATGATGAAGTTTGTAAGTCTGTCTATTTAAGCTAAGCTTATTTTGATTGATTGATTTATTTTATTATTAATTTTATTCTGATGTTTATGTATTTGTCGCTGTATAATAGGCCTATTTGTTTCACGAATTGTGGTGCTTGTAGGTAGGCTATGTTTGTAACTTGCATTCTAATAAAAAAGTTAAATAAATAAAAATAAAAGAACACCAGATGAATTGTTCTCTTTTAAAATGTTTGATTTTAAAACTGATATCATGTTTTATGTGTATACATAGGCTATGGGTGAATAAACTATCTGACAGTGCCATATGGGTTATATTTCATTTTTGTTAAAACAATAGGCTATATAAAAACACGTCTGTATTAAAGAAAAAAAAAGATTGATAAACCATAGGCTATTTGGAATGTAATTAAATGACAAGTACTTTGGGTTTTATTTACATTTTATTTATTTTTATATAAAAGCAACAGAACTTAAAACCAGTTAACCTTCGGGCAACCGACGGCGCTCTGAAGCCCCCCCCCCCACCCCCCCCCCCCCCCACCCCCACTAGTTTAATGTTTACACAGCAAAAACTCCAGTGTTAAATTAACTCTCCTGGGAGTTTATTTGACTCCAGACTCAAGAGTGTTAAAGTGTTAAAATATGAGTGTTAAATTAACACTCAAGAGTGTTAAAGTTAATGAGCTAATTAAGTGATTAATTTAGTGATAATTGACCATCATTGAAGACACCTGATGATCACAGGCAGAATCGCTGAAGAAGAAAAATCTCATTTTCGAAGTCACCATAATGGTGATCATTATTTGCTTAGAGAAAAGGTGATCAGGTGCTGCTGATTATGGTTTGACATAACTCACTAAGCAAAATGATGTCCAAAAGATGTTTTTCAATGTCTTTGTCACAAAAGGCAGAGTTTGAAAAGACTTCCACTAAGGGGCCAGAATGAAAGTTTTTATGACGTCTTTTTTGACATGTTCTGGACATCTGAAAAAGACGTTAATGGATCCTTCGTGCAAGGTTAAAAACTAGTTCAAATGTGGCCATTCTCAACATTATTTATGGTCTATACTGGTTTATACTGTTTCTGGACCAAATAAACACTCTCAGGATGCATTAAATTAAAACTTATGTTTATTTTTTTTCCTTACATTGTTTAGATGGTGATATTTATTTCATTTTGAGTCACCATTGTGGTGATCAGTGTTTGCTTTAGTTGGGCCCTTGGTCCCAATAATTAGTATTCTAGCTTTTCTTTGGCTGTTGTAACTGTGTGTGTTTGAATAACACCATTGTTGTGACAGAGAAAGCCAAGAAAATTGGCTCTCATCAGCTCCTTGTCGGTTGTTGATGATGATGATGAAATCAATATAAAGTGGGCATTTAACGTTGTGTTTAGACTTTTGTGTTTGTATCTGGAGTTTATAACCACAAATCTTGTGGAACTGCATTATTTGGCCTAGTAGTTGGACAAAAAGCAAATTTACACAATGTTTTGAGAAAATGTTCCATCTAGTCACACACAGACATCAAGATTTTGCATATGATTCACAAAAATGGTGACAATAAATAAAAAAAATGCTTCATGCCGCAATGCATAATGGGTAGCTTTCATAGTACAAAACATCCTCGATTCCCAGGCTTTTTTGTTTTGGTTGTCACCGTCGTTGAGAATCATATGCAAAATCTTGATATCTTGTGTGTGACTATGTGTTTCACTTTCTTAAAACATATTGTACGCAGTGGTCATTATAAAGTTACTGGTCCAAATAATGCAGTTCTACGAGATGACTAATTATAAATTTCAGATATAAAAACATAAGTTTAGATGAAGCAAACATCTGAAGACATCTAATTTTTAATTTTCTTGGCTTTCTCTGCACAATCAATGGTGTTATGCAAACAGATACAACAGCCAAAGAAAAGCTAAAGTAAGAAGAATTGGGACCAAGAGCCCAACTAAAGCAAACACTCATCACCACAATGGTGACTTAAAATGAAACAAATATCACCATCTGAACCACATCTAAACAATGTAAATAAACTAATTTATTTCAAATTGTAAATTTAATGCATCCTGAGAGTGTTTCTTCAGTCCAGAAACAGTTTAAATTGTCTAAATAAGACCATGAGTTATGTTGAAAACATGTTGAACTTGTTGTTAACCTTGTACGAAGGATCCATTAATGTCTATATCGGACGTGCAGAACACGTCACAAAAAGATGTCATGAAAACTTTCATTCCAGCCCCTCAGTGGATCAGCCCCATCAGACTTTTGTGACTAAAACAATATCTTTTTTTCAAAATCAAAATCAAAAATAATCAAATTTTTTTTTTTTTTTTTTTTTTTTTTTTTTTTGAACCCGTATTGTCTTATTGTGTTTTTTTTTTTTTTTTTTTTTTTTTTTTTTTTTTCTCTCTGTCTTTTGTGCTCTGTGTATTTTTTATTGTGTAACTTATTGTTGTCTTGCACTTTAATCACCTTATCTTGGCCAGGTCGCCGTTGTAAATGAGAATTTGTTCTCAATCGGCCTTCCTGGTAAAATAAAGGTTAAATAAAAAAAAAAAAAAAATATCTAAAGTATAAAACGTAAGGGTTGACAGACTGCCCCACTGAAGCAAACACTGATCTCCATAATGGTGACTTTTAATTTTGATTTTTCACTTTCAGTGATTCTACTTGTTAACATCAGGTGTCTTCAATGTTGGTCAATCATTGCTCAATTAATCACTTAATTATCTCATTAACTTTAACACTGCTTCAGAGTTAATTTAACACTCTTGAGTGTGGAGTCATATAAACTCCCAGGAGAGTTAATTTAACACTGGAGTTTTTGCTGTGTATGAATGGATTTAACATGAAAGAAGATCATTAATCTTGGCAAACTATATATAATTTTAAAGGTCTAAGCCTCGGGCATCGATGTCAGTGCACTGTTTTTCGATGGAAAGCTTATAACAAATGTATTTCTTGCATTTAGGTAAGCAGTACACATAAGAACGCACGTAAACAAAAACGGAGTACTCACCATTATTTTGTAATAACGAGCCAGACACGCATCCACTGTTAAAAATTCCAGATTGAATGGAAAGCTGAGGGTCCACTGAATAACATCCCATAGAGCATTTTTTGTCCAAAGAAAAAATAATGTTGTAATATCCATGGTAATTCCTTTGTTTACATCGCGTTTCTTCAGGGTGAATATCATGCGGTTTTGTTATGCAATAAAATAGTCCATAGAAAACAGACTCCCGGTAGCAGACCCTTATATGGGTGTGTTGCTTAGAGTGTAATGAACAAATTACGACCGCGCACACACACACAAATACAAAGATAAGCGATATCTAGTTCAAAATATGCAAACACTGCAGTCCGTTTTTTTTGACGTCATGATATGCACATCATATCATTCTGTCTTTATAACGAAAGCCAATAAAAGAAACGACATGATATGACTGGTAAAACATGTAGCCAACCAGTGCACGATTCCAACGTTGCCCGGGAAGTTTGAATTTCTCACACGAACATATGTTTTTATTTGCTCTCCGTCCGGTAGAGGAGCTAAACTTCAGGCTCTGCAGAGCCACACCCACCGCGGTCATGTTTTGACTGGCCTGCTATAGCTAAGAGCTAAGATAACAAGCTAAGAGGTAGCTAGTCAACAAACATCTGTTCGTGCAGACATGCAGACTGTCATAAAATAATTTGTCAAAAGAAGTATTTTTCTGCTGAAGTAGTTATTCGAGATCACTCGAAGATGGATTATGTCGACATTGATGAGAAGATGAGTGATGAGAAGATCGTGACGACGGTGATAATTATGCTTGAGGGCGGAAAAGATTATCCAATTTTCGGTGAGTTGCTTTATACATAACTTATGTAACATGCACACATTATACGTATGTGTGTCTGTGTGTGTGTGTGTGTGTGGGTGGGTGAGAGAGAGAGAGAGAGAGAGAGAGAGAGAGAGAGAGAGAGAGAGAGAGAGAGAGTGTTTGGTTTCCAGTTGTTTCATACGGAAAATGCATTGTGTAAAGTTGTGTCTGAAAAGATTATGCTACTTTATATGCATTTATTTATTTGTATATATGTATTTATATGCGTTGTACGGTTATGCAGTTGTTTGCCGTTTTTTTCTGGCACATGTGGTGTGCTATCTGAAGGATGGAGGGGCTGGACACCTGTGCAATATACATTTTTTCCTAGCACACATACTGTATATTTTTACAGTCTAATATACATAATATTTATAGTACAAATGCAAATATTTGTACTGTAAATATGATGTATGTTGTACTGATGTATATGTTGTATGTATATATATATTTTTTGCAGAAATTGGTGGGAAGAATTGCAGAAAATATGTGCTATATAGGAAGGAGTTGTATGCTTTCAAAATGCCACATTCCTGTCTGATGGCCGGCCATCAGTGTGATTGTTGGTTCTTTGTCTGGTCATCCATATGAATGCTGTCTATATCACTGGCCATTGATTGTTGATTGAATGGATGAGCTTTAGTACGAATGCTGTGTAAACGACTGCCCATCAGTTTGATTGTTGAATGAATGGCCAGCTATATAGAAACTAAACAGAATTATTTACTTGACATGCAGTGCTAATTATCTTTCCATTCTTTCCCATGCAACAGCCATCAAGTTGAATCTTCAGATGATGAATGGCATCCAAGCACCAGCCAGAGATGCAAGCTCTCAGTTTCTTCACTATTCTTCACTTTTTCCATCCTTTTCAGAACATTGCAATTGTCAAGAGGATGGTGGCATCAAAAGCTAGGAATGGACTAAAGCAATATATGAAGGCCAAGCCAACAAAGTACAGTATTTATATCACTTGTATTTTCTATTGCAAAGAACCTCAGTTATTTATTTTTTATATTTCATAATATTTTACTTATGTATTTTACATATATATTTTTTTGTTCTGTTGTGCAAATAAATCACTTGCATAAAGTCTAATGGTTGTGTGTATTATTTTATAATTGCATTATTTTATGAATTGACTGAAATAGCTTGCAGTGCCCTGCATAACATTTGGTCATTAGGTTGCTTTTTGATGTATCCAAGGAGGTTTCTTGGTACCTGGACATAGTCTTGGAAAAAATATTGTAGTAATCTAATTTTTCATAATATCTTCCTCAAATTTGAAATATAAACTGATGAGACTTATGTCTTTCAATCAATTACCTAACTGGATTCCTACAGGTTTGTTTTCATTTATTTTTACATGAAATTGTAAAATATTACATGCAGTATAAATTACCTTCAAGACACTTTAAATTCTATAACTTTTTGTCTGTGTAAGTTTTTTCAACTTTAACAGTTGGGTAATACACTCTAAAGTGTCTTCTTTTTAAACATGTCTAAATTGTGCATGTAGTGCAAATAGTTGAGCAACTGCAAATATTTTAGTTTGGGCATGTTATTTCTGGGGATGTGCCTCAGGCAGGGGGAGGGAGAAAGGGAACTGACATAGTCTTGGAAAAAAGTTTGCAGGAACCCCATTGTTCATTATATCTTCCTCAAATTTGAAATATAAACTGATGAGACTTGTGGCTTTCAATCCTTTATCTATCTGAATTACTCCAGGTCTATTTTTATATATTTGTACATGAAATACTAAAACATTTTTGTGGCGCACATTATTTTTGAGGCACTTTTAACTTTTATAACTTTTTTTCTGTTTGAGCATTATCAAATCTGATTGATTGTTAGTAGAGTCCCAACTGTCTTCTTTCCAAAGATACCTTAATTGTGCCTGTGGTACACTGTTCTCAGGAGCTGTACCCAGCAAACATGCCAGTGCGGGCCCACTGTGGGTAAGTGTGGGTTTTCTGTGGGACAGTGTGGGCAAGGGCAAACCCTTTGGGGCCCCATGTGGGCTTGCTGAGGGCAAGCCCACAGTGGGCTTTCCCACAGAAACCCCTCAAGGGCCCCTAGTGGGTTAGCCCATGTGGGGCCCATAGCAGTTTTGCCCAATTGGGCCCCCATGAGGGTTTACTGTGGGCAACCCACTGTGGGTTTGCCCACAGAAAACCCACAAGGGCCCCCAGTGGGTTAGCCCATGCGGGGCCCATAGCAGATTTGCCCATTTGGGGCCCCATGAGGGTTTACTGTGGGCAACCCACTGTGGGTTTGCCCACAGAAAACCCACACGGGCCCCCAGTGGGTTAGCCCATGCGGGGCCCATAGCAGTTTTGCCCATTTGGGCCCCCATGAGGGTTTACTGTGGGCAACCCACTGTGGGTTTGCCCACAGAAAACCCACACGGGCCCCCAGTGGGTTAGCCCATGCGGGGCCCATAGCAGTTTTGCCCATTTGGGCCCCCATGAGGGTTTACTGTGGGCAACCCACTGTGGGTTTGCCCACAGAAAACCCACACGGGCCCCCAGTGGGTTAGCCCATGCGGGGCCCATAGCAGTTTTGCCCATTTGGCCCCCATGAGGGTTTACTGTGGGCAACCCACTGTGGGTTTGCCCACAGAAAACCCACACGGGCCCCCAGTGGGTTAGCCCATGCGGGGCCCATAGCAGTTTTGCCCATTTGGGCCCCCATGAGGGTTTACTGTGGGCAACCCACTGTGGGTTTGCCCACAGAAAATCCACACAGGCTCGCAGTGGGTTAGCCTATGCGGGGCCCATAGCAGTTTTGCCCATTTGGGCCCCCATGAGGGTTTACTGTGGGCAACCCACTGTGGGTTTGCCCACAGAAAATCCACACAGGCTCGCAGTGGGTTAGCCTATGCGGGGCCCATAGCAGTTTTGCCCATTTGGGCCCCCATGAGGGTTTACTGTGGGCAACCCACTGTGGGTTTGCCCACAGAAAACCCACATGGGGCCCCAGGCAGTTAGCCCATGCGAAGTTAAGTTGTTTAACAGTCAAAAGTTTTAACATTAGAAGGTTTAATATTAGAAGCTTAATCAAACTATTTAACGATCCTGTGAAATGTCAGTCCATAATTAACTAAAACTGCATATAATGGATTATGAGCATTTGCATTTAAAAACAAATTTTTGACTTATAAGGAATTATTAAAAAAATATAGATGTAACTATATATTGTAATGCAGTAGGTCTTAATGAGTCTTTATGAATATATTTATACAATAGTAATATTGCTCATAAATAAGTATAAATGGTGCTATAATTCATTATAAGTATGGACTGCACAGAAAGTGTTACCATATTTATTAAATAAAATTAACTTATTTGTCACAATAAAAAAAAATAGCCTACAATGGTTTACTGATTTGTTTTGGTATTAATCAGTGATGCATATTTATCATAATAAAATTATATATTATTGATACTAATAAATAAGCCTACATCACTGATGTAACGACTGAGCCCAATCAGACACAAACGAAACTGCGACGTCACTGGGCGTAATTTCATTACCAACTTTCATAAAGCATTTTAGTGCTTTCATATTCTAATGAAAAAAAATAATATTACATGGGTCATAGAACTACACAATGATTTTTAAATTCATGATATAAAATGAATGATATTTTAAATTGTTACATGTTATAATTCTAGATGTTTAAATGCTGCGTGCCTTTTGAATTGTTATGGTTTCAACGCGCGTGCGAGTCGCATTCAAAGTTGTCCGATTCAAAGACAGGAGCGCACGCGAGCAGATGGAAACCATGGAAACGAGGAAACCTCTTCAACTGACAAACAGCAAAGAACAGCGTCTCTCTGTTTTTCCACTGCTTTCAGGTAAGTTTAGTTAACAAAATCACACAAATAATACATACAAACGTTCCTAACACCTTTCTTACGTATAATTGATACGCTTCTGTTGAATATTTACTTTGTAGAAAAGGTTTTGAGTCTTCGAAAAAGTCCGTTAGCATCTCAACTGTTTTCAGAATAGGTAACGTTAAGTTAAGTTAACGTTAGCTCTTGTTTTACATAAGTTTGGGGTTTTAACCACATCTTTGTGTTGACAACAGTTTTTGATAGTTTTGTTTTGCTGGTAATTTGTCAATGGGTTATTGGAAATTAGCTAATTGCTAGCTAGCCTGAAAGAATTCACACTGTAACGTACTGTTGATCAGTGACGTCACTTACAAAGATTGATAATAAAAGTGATTTCAGAAGGGACAGAAAAAAAACCTCCACAACAAAGGGGTAATTATTGTTTCATGATAATAATTTCATATGCATTTATTGCACAATATATTACGTTAAGATTTTATATTCTTTTTCTCTTTTCTGCATTGGATCTCTAGCTTGATTCCTTGTAATAAACCCTTTGTTCTATTGCAAATGCTATGTAACATTGTTGGCTCTGTGACACATTGCATGTTATATTCTAGTCTAGAAAATCATCATGATATCCTGCTACAGCCCTGTCCCAAGACAACCTCCACGGCTATGAACTCGACTAGTAAGCAAAACTTCAAACATACTGTTCAAAAGTTTGGGGTCTGTAGGATTTATGCTTTTTAATGAAGTCTCACACTCATTAACCCCAGTTTTTTTTCAGTGATATTGTCATTGAGAAGCCTGTAGGCTAAATAATAGCTGGCAAAATAATATAATGATGTTATAATGGTCATAAGTTATTATAATTAATTGAACTATTATGAAAACAGGATATCATGGTCATTGGTATATTCTCTAGGTGTGTTTTTAATTATGTTGGCCAATGAGACACCATACTGTCCAGCGCTAAGGTATTTATTTATTTTCCTGTATTTTTTTAATGATAAACACTAAAGTTCTTTTAACTTTTAAATGCTGAATTCAGGGGGTCGACAACTTTAGGCACGCAAGTTATTTTTCACAGATATCTGGCCAGTTTACTCATGGCTCATATTCTTAGCCTTTAAATGTTTATATTTAAATCCACAATTCAATATCAGGGGGTAAATATCATTAGAGTTTCTAAAGTTACTATGCTCTTGTTACCAGATGAGATATCATTTGACCCTGTGATTCTTCAGGACCAGATCTTGATGCCATCCACACCCAGTACATGACAAAGGTGAGTTTCACAATAGCTGCCACTACCACAAACCAAGAGACCGAACACAACAGGCCTTCATCCATAAGAACTCACCCATACGTTGAGATAGTAACCAAAACCCGGTATTAAACATTAAACGGGCCCTGGGGCCAAATTAAAGGACAACTCCGGTCAATTTTAACATTGAGCTAATTTTTTTGTACATTTGGAGTGCTGTCAGTACAGACAAAAATCGGTGTTGCCTACACTGTGTTATCATCTTTTTAAAATTCGCACCCTGCTGACTTCAATGGGGCATGGTCTAAACCTGCTTTTAGCCTCTTAACATCCTTTATTTGTCATTACGAGTGTACAGCCATGTGAGTGGTGTTATTAAGAGTGACCACGGTCAATCTGACTGCAGTAGATATGAAAGATATTAATAAAAATGATGTTAATTCAGCCAGCGCACATACCTCTATTTGCTTCCTGTTTTCTGTCGAAGCCCACAGTGGTCGATTGTCGATCTCACACGTGAGTTCATTTATATCGTCTCAAACCTACCACTGTGTGGTGTTCTGAGAATATCAGCTCAAATGGATAGTTCATCCGAATCAGATGTTGAACACACAGAGGTTTGAGATGATATTCACTTATGATTGCGCGCGTGAACTCAACAATCGATTACTGTGGGCTTCGCCCGAAAACAGGAAGCAAATAGAGGTATGTGCGCTGGCTGAATTAACATCATTTTTATTAATATCTTTCATATCTATTAACCGTGGTCACTCTTAATAACACCACTCACATAGCTGTACACTTGTAAGACAAATCATTACGAGTACAAAAAAAATAATTACAAGCTTTTTTTAAGGAAGACCGCAGTATCGATAAGCCCAGGTGTTATCAGTTCTGTCTTGCAAATTCTGTGAGGATTAGGAGGGGTATTTTAAACAGTCTTCATACAACATGTTTTTTCTGGCTGGTGGTTGTTTGTAATTTTAAATTTAAATTTTAATAAGTAGGGAGAAAATAAAAACCTTTATTAAACAATTGTAAATTATTTATAACTGAATCTACAAAACATACAATAATTAACATCACTTATAAACATTTATGAAACGCATAATCATGTTTAATAAAAAATGAGTTAATCATTCATTTACTAATGATTTTGTAAATGACTTGTAACAGAATTGACAAAACATACATAAAATGTTAGTATATCACTTGCTAATCATTTATGAATGTTTTGTAAAAGCTTAGTTCATCATTAACCAACCAAAATGACTTACAACTAAATGTTATTATAAACGCAGCTCTCTCATTGACCTATTCAGTCATTCTCAGAAGACGTTTCCTCATTCAAAGTGCAGGTTGAAAACTTTCTTAGGTTGAAATGGTTCAACAGTACAACCCTTATTTTGTTTTTAACATTTGTATTTCAATTGTTCCTTTCTCACTTAGATGCTGTGACAAAAAGCAGTCAAGCCACTGCATGTGATGTGGAAGCCTCTATGAAGACATGGCTCCGTAATCCCTGGGACAGAGATGGGGAAGGCAAGGAAGGGCCAGAACTGCAGAAATACCTACTGTTGCCCCTGAGGGGATTGATTTTTAATTTTCAATCCCCTGTTTTCTGTGGTTATTGCTGTTTTAAACTGTATTATCATTAATTATAATTATTATTAAATATAAATAAATTATTTGGGGAAAAAACATGACCCTCGATTTATTGCTGCTAACAAGTCCAATTGTACTGCATATAGTAATATGGGTGTACCTACTCTGTGTGCTCAAATTTTGCAACTGCACCCACAGTGTGCCCACATCCAGCCTGCTATAATTTGTGTGGGCCAGCCCAAAGTCAGCCCACACTTTGGGCTGGCCCACGGTAAGTAGAGTGGGCCCCGATTGGAGCCAGTTGTGGGCCCACAGCAAACCCTTATAGGGGCCCATTTGGGGCCATTGCAGGCAGCCCACTGTGGGCCCACAACTGGCCCCAATGGGGGCCCACTCTACTTACCATAGTCAGCCCACACTTTTGGGCTGTCCCACTGGGGCCCCACCTGGGTCCCGAAGTGTGGGGCCCACACGTGCCCCGCATTTCACGCCGGTATCTGGGCCCACAGTGGGCTGCCCATAATGGCCCCACATGGGCCCCTATAAGGGTTTACCGTGGGCCCACAACTGGCCCCAATGGGGTCCACTCTACTTACTGTGGGCCTGCCCACAGTCAGCCCACACTTGTGGGCTGTCCCACTGGGGCCCCACCTGGGTCCCAAAGTGTGGGGCCCACACGTGCCCCGCATTTCACGCCGGTATCTGGGCCCACAGTGGGCTGCCCGCAATGGCCCCACATGGGCCCCTATAAGGGTTTACCGTGGGCCCACAACTGGCCCCAATGGGGGCCCACTCTACTTACCGTGGGCCTGCCCACAGTCAGCCCACACTTTTGGGCTGTCCCACTGGGGCCCCACCTGGGTCCCGAAGTGTGGGGCCCACACGTGCCCCGCATTTCACGCCGGTATCTGGGCCCGCAGTGGGCTGCCCGCAAGGGCCCCATTCGGGCCCCAAAGAAGCTTGTTTGCTGGGTATTTATTGTTATCCAGGCATGTCATTTTCAGCTGTGAGCCCCCTTGTGGAGCTGAAGGTTAACAGGTTAAATCACATCCAGTTTATTAGCAACACGTGCACGAGCGTGAATCCCGTTAATCCCGCGATATCCGCCTTTGATCTCACAGGTGTCTGATTCACTGCGAGAACCGAGATCTGTCCGGCTTGATTGCGCTTTTTTCACTCCTCCTCTCACTGCAGCCGCCTACTCTCGACTACATTGCAGGCGAGGCGAGGCGCATCTCAAACAAGCCTAATGTCAGTTTGCTGTCTGGGGTTTTTGGTGTCAGAATCAAAAAACGAAAAACAAATTAAAAACTGCCCGATTTTCGTTTTTTGGCGATCATTTTATCGTTATTCATTTTTGAACAAAGAATGAATTGAGTCTTGAACTTCTGTCAATTCGTTTTTCGTTTATAAACCAAAAACGGAAGTCACGTGGTCCATTCCTTATTTGGAAGCGATTGTAACCGGAAACACTTTCAAAATAAAAGTTACTACAGTTAGCGAGGTGATGGTAGACTAAAACTGAACTAATATAACTTTTTTTAGTACAACTAAAGTACCACTGGGTGTGAGTAAGACTTTAGTTAACTGAAATAAAAATTCAAACAAATAAAATAATAACTCTGGCTGTTAGGGAGAATTAAACATTTGTAAAATCATTGGTGAATAGCTTTTGCCAAGCGTGCCAGAGGTTCTGGGTTCTAATCCGTTCTAATGACATTTTTTTTTTCATCAAAACTGATTATGTTTATCAGTGGTTGTATATCAGGCAGAGACAAAACATCTTCAGAACATTTTGTGTTTTAATTTCACCGTAATGAATAGAGTCTCTCCACAACGGATTGCACGTCCGAGTGAAGACTGTGCGCACCACATTTGGAAATCCACTGTCTCCTCAAAAGAGTCCGTTTGCAAGCAGCAGAAGTCCACCTTATGTGACACACGCACAGTAAACATGTATTGTTCACTCAACTGCACACAATAGCAGCGAATTATTAAAAAAACACACTTCTGCTTATTTACCCACGTTCTGTTTTCTAAGCCCCCTAAAAGTCTCTTGTTGGACTGATTAATCAAGCTCTCCATAAAAGAAACAATACAAACCCTACAATTTAATATCACGTATTATAAAGAGCCCTCATATTTAATGATGTTGTATGATTTGTAAATTGCAATAAACGGATTACAGTTTCAATGAAACATTATCAGTTGTTAAAAGGTGTTAGTAAAAGTTCTGACCAGCAGGAGTCGCCAGAGCGGCGCTGAGAATCAGTGAATCAATGAATCACTTCATGGAGCAAATGAGTAAATACATCAGAAAAAAAGACTTATCTTATTGCCAGAGCACAGAGTCATGTGAGACAATATATATTTAATAATATATAAAGTGGTATAATCTTCCATTTTACTTATGTCCTCTGTGATTCTGGTTATTGGATCAGAGGTTTCACATCTCACGCAAACCACGTGACAGAACTCGTCACCACTTCACTAAACCAGCCAGAGGTAACAGTGAGTAGTGTTTTTACTGGTTATTAGATCAGATAAACTGTTATAATCACTGTTTTATTTCAGTGTCGCCCAGTCAATCATCACTTCATAATAATCAGAACTAGCAGTTAATGAAAGTACATTGATTTGATCCTATTGAAGCTACAGGCTTTCTCTGCGCTGGTGACAAACTGAAGTCTGCTTTTCTTTAACATTTGATGCTTATTGTTTGTTCAAATGTTAAAGGTGCCCCAGAATGTTTTTTAAAATTATTTTATAATATTTCCTGCAATGTTAGTATGTTTTTTTTAGATCAAAAATAGTCATAATTTAGAAATAAAAGGCATTTTTCCTAGCCTGATTTTAGCCTCTGCTTTGAACGCTCTGTTTGAAGGGCGTGTCTGCTGTGTGTAATCCGGCCTCTGCTGTTGATTGCTGACACGCTTGCATATGAAATAGCTATGCATTACATGTGAAACTCTCCCGAATAATTTTACCACAGCTTATACGTTTTTACTATCACAGCTATCGAGATGAACTAATCGTGAGATGTTTTTGAGATCTATTCCATCAAAGTGTTGCTGCGATGAGCATGAGCAGCAGAGGACAGTCTGTCGATCGCGAGGAGGATA